CCTGGAAGGCATGAGCAGCTTCTCAGTGTCTTTACTGAGCTCTGTTTTGTTAAGCAAACGTAATATATTAAAATTATCCATTTGAAGCGGCAGCTGTGTCTTGTAGATGATCTACTTGAGTGATTATTTAACTCTAAGGATGCTCTGTAACTAGGCTACAGCCTGTCTGCGCTGTGGATTGGAGTGACTAAAACCAGGCTGGGGGAGGAATGGATTGTTGCAAGGTCCTTCTGTAGGGGTTTACTTTTGTATTATAATTGGACCCTAGAAAACGTCGGCACTTACACTGTGGGCATAAGGATCAAGTGGGTTTCTGTTTGTTTGTGAGTTTTTAATATTCTCCCCTCAGTTATATTTGCCTTCTAAATATGCCTATGCCAGAATTTATGCCTATGCCTGATGAAAATATTTCTGAACCTACAACCTTGGCCCGGAGTCCTGAGCTCTGCAGTAAGTTAATGGCTAGTCTCTCTTACTCGTTTCAAACTTGGCTACAGTCACAAAATAAATGACCTGTTTGTTTCAGCTCAGCCTCGTGTGGAGGTTTGTTTGCATTATAAAACCATGATGCAGTTCAGCAGACTTCCAGTTTCTGGAGTGGTGTAGTAGGGCTAATGCAGGTCTCTTCTGAGGAATGCCAGCCCTAATTCATGGGAAGTTTATGCTCTGACAGTACTGGCTAGGGCTAGGAATTATCCTGAACAGGGGAGATGAAATTAAAGCAAAATGTTACTTAAGTGGAAATAGAAAGTATTGGGATTTTCCTGTTTGAGTGTGATGTTGTAACTAAGACTATAGAGTGAACCCAAAGACTTGTCCTGTAAAGTAGTCAAAGAAGGCTGCAGGTTCAGGGTGAGCTGGGCCAAAAATGGTGCAAGCTCTGGTACTTGTAGCTCCCTCAACTGTAAATATTTGATGTTGTCTTTCTCCCAAGGACAAGTAGCTAAGTTATGGACAAACCAAGGAACTTTTCCTCTGCTGGGGAAGAAGGTGACAGCAGTTGAGAACAAAATTGTTGAGTGCCTGGTTCTCTTCACCTGTTTGGTTTGATTTCTTGTGTTTCATTTTCAAACTTTTTTTTTCCCCTTGTTTTTATTTTTCTTTTCTCCAGGCTGATGAGCTCACAGTCAATTCAGTTTTCGGAAGATTTTGTTCTTCTCGTTTTTTAAAGCCCTTCTGAAGTTTGCACAGGACTACGGTGAAGTCTTCCTGCCCCCGTGTTGTTATTTTGTTCAGTGACACTTGCCAGTGTAATTCCTTTAATTCCTTCGTGTTTTTGTAGTGCTGGCTGTTGAAGCTACGTCAGACTACGAGTTTAAATAGTTAACTTTTGGCAAGTGACTTTTGTCAAAGCTTTGGCATCTTGTTCTTCAGAAAACCTTTTCAAATTAATAACATGCGTCCAGCAGATTTATTGCTCTCCAGGCCGAGTGCCCAGCGACAGCCTTCTGTGTCTAAAAATGGTTGTTGTTGTTGTTAAGGCCATCTTTTAGGAAATTGGGAGTTTGACATTTGAGTGCAAATATGCACATATTTATACAGATACTGGGGACAGAAAACCGCTTAGTAATGACTTGAAGTATTTTTTGGAGCGATCTTGTTTTGTACCCTGAGGCATTAAAGGGATGCTGCTTAAAGTTGAGGAGCCTTAGCCATTTTTATGTCTGTGAAGTGTAAAATGTTAAGTACTGGCTAATATATGCTACCTGTTAGTTTGACACTGATGCTGAGGGTATAAAGTGATGTGATGTTGTGGGATTTCCATCTTTAAATAATTGCATGTTTAGGCATTGGTTTCAAGAGGCAGACCTCTAATTATCCAAATTAATGCTGATAGTAGCTGTATTTATAGTAATTTCTACATTAAAAAAAATCAGTGTGTTCATGCAGCAAAGAAACCGATCTTATTATAATATTAATATGGATTTTTTTTTTCCTTCAAAGTGTGTTTTGGTCAGACAAGAAATTAAAACGTGACAAGGCCTAAAACATGCTGCAATTTTGCTTTTCAGTACTATAAGAAATGCCTGAATAGGGCAGATACACATTCTGAGAGGTGTATTTCTGAATTATTTTTGTCTTGGCGGAGTGGGGTGCACTTTTCTTGCGTAAGGACGTCAGAAAAATTGTTCTGAAGGCTGAGAATTTATTGGGAAATGTTTTTTACAGTGGTTAGTGTCTTTTTATTTTTTTAACTGCCTATGGAGAACAGCTTAAGAGTTTTTATGCTGAACCTTAGTGTGAAAAAATCCCACCCAACAACCTTTTAGTCGGTTGCAGGACAGTCAGGATAATCTTGGATTCTATTCAGTGCACTTTAATTAACCATACAAGGTAGTAAATTAAAGTACCTCAGACTGACTTGACAGTCAATTAAACCTTGGCTGATTTCATTGAGAATGTGATCATTAGTGTAATTGGCCAAAATGACAGGAGGCCCACTTGGAATTGTACCCACTTGAAATTTTCCTCTAATTCCGTGTGTGCAATCCTGGGCAGGGTAATAGGCAAATGGAGCTCTCTCCTAATAATTTCCAAGAATTTCATGTAGCTCTCTGGAAATAAGGCAAACTCTAGCAGAAAAAAAATGAAGGAATGGATTACTTGGGAATCCAGATGGCAAAACCTTTTGGTATTTATATTGTGTGAAGTACTTTGAATCTCTTCTTTCACTGTGGGATTTATATAGAGTTTTGCAAAGTTCACCATGTGATTTCAGCCAAAAGGATGTGTATGTGCCAGGGAGATTTTTTTTGTTTGTTAAATAGATTGAGAAACTATGTTGAGACTATCTTATGTTAATGGTATCTGGATACTTGAGAGAGTGAGGCTTTTCCTCCTATTTAATATCACTTATCTAACTTGGTATCTTCTTTCTAGTAAAGGCAACATCATTCTTCTCTGTTTTCTTTTTGCATACATCTTGCTTTGCCTGAGAACTTAAACTTCCAGTCTTTAGTTGAGCATTTCTGGGGGCAAATACTCGATCCCTTACATGGAAAATGTCTAGTGCATGTGGGTGCTACTCTGATGGAAATAAGTTCTAAAAAATTGTTTCTTCAATTACAGCAGGTTTTCTGGTCAGTCTCCAAAGGTACTTGCATCTTAAATTAATTGGTAATACCATGGTTTCCTCTGTCTGTCCCCCAGCCACAGACAGTTCTTTTTTTATCCCCTTGAAAAGTAACCAAATGATAGTTTGTCCCTTTCAAATCAAAAGGAATTATTTAAGCATGCCTTGGAAATTCCTAGGCATCTTGTCTATAGCTGAGGAAGTTGTCTGGGTTATTTTTCTCAGCCGAGGAGACGTAACAGGTTTTATCATCCGGTGGTGCTTCTGTGCCTTTTCCAGACCGTCAGGGCTCCTGGGGCAGGAATACAGGGTCAGAAACTGGGTCCTGCCCTGCTGTGTGGCAGTACTCAAAAGTGCAGTAAGCTCAGGCATGTGGGAGTCTGCATTCAAAATTCTGTAGGAATACCATGAAGTGGGATTTGATAGAGATTCAATTTTCATAATCAGGCCCTGGTAAGACCCTCTTATACCCACCGACATCCATTTAGAGAGGTGTTAAGATGTTTGAAATGAACACCCTTCTTTTTTTGGAGGGGGAGACCTCAAGTTAGTTCCAGGCAGTTCAACAGAGCTGATTTCTGAAAGCAGGGAAGGACTGTGTGTTTGCCTGCTGCGTTGGCACAGAGCATCTCTAAAAGATAGACTGCCTACAAAACATGGGTGTAGCAGCACTGCTGTATATTCAGAGAACAGCTGGTGTGCCTGTTTTTGAGATGCTTTTCAAATTTAGTGTATTGTTCAGGTTCTGTACATCTGTGTAAATACAAGTGTAATTGCCTGCTCTGTGGTTATTTTGTCCATCTTTATTTATTTATGTATTTTATTGTTTCCTTATCCTCCCTCCAGTTTTTCATTCACCTTCAAAGGGAGGGGGGGGAGAGAAAGAGAAAAAATCTGTCCTCTTTGTGACTGTTCACTTTGTTCAGGCCTGTAGGGGCTCACCAAATTGCTGTAAATGAACAGTTAAGTTTGGAAAAGACAAATAACCTCCTAAGTTCAAGATTTAAAGGAAAAAAAAAAAGTAGGCCACCTGTCAAGTTTGCCAGTCCAGGCTGAATTTGATGGGCTCCAGAGTCATCCCGATTACTTCATCATCCTCTTAAAAAGAAAAACAAAATTGTTGGTTACCCTCCATTTTTTTTTTTCCTTTTCTCCTAGTTGGCAAATGTAGCTTGTTTCCTGTGTTTTCAGTTGAACTGAAATTAATATAGCTTTAATAAGTATGTTTGTGGGGAGAATTCTGGCAGTTTCTTCTAAGAATACCTTAGTTTTGTAGCAGGATTGTAGATATTTTTATAAATTCGGGGGCTAGGTCTTCAGTGGATATAAACTTGTATTCCTACCTGGTAAGGAATTGATCTTGGAACACTTACAAGTGGAGGCTTTAAAAACAAAGGTTTTGGTGCTTCATCTGATAATTTTTCTTATGTCAACTAAAAGCTGATCTATTTTTTTATAATTGGGGATCTTTTGTTCACTCCCGAAAGTGAAATTGTTTCTTGCAATAGCAGTAGATTGGTCACCAACTGCAGCTGAAGCAGAATAAAATGTTACATTTTGTGGGTTTCCTCCTGCTTAGTTGCTTGCTTTAGCAACCAGAACTTAAGTAAAAAAAAGAAAGGGTTGGGGGGAAGGGAATGAAAGTTGTTTGTTACCGGTTAAATTTTGAGTTGCAAACCTATTCATCTCAGAATAGGCAGAGCATAGTGTGTTTCTGTGAACCTAAAGGAAAAGTTCATTGGATTGCTGTCCTTACTGTTGATGTTGTGTGGTGGTTTTGGTGGTTTGTTTTTTCCCTTTGGTTTTTGTGCCCCTACTTGGATATCTTCTTTCTTGTTCCCTTAAACTGGTGCAAGCTTTGCTGGAATCCTGTCGGACTTATTAGACATGTTCACAGTAACAGTAATCTCAATTTCTTGTATTTTAGGATCCAGCAAGAGTAGAGAAGACAGCACATTACCTAAGATGTGAGAAGTCCTCCCACAGTGAAATAAACCCTTGTTTTCAAAATGGACCGAAGTAAGCGGAATTCAATCGCGGGATTTCCACCACGCCTGGAGCGCGCCGAAGACTTCGACGGTGGCACTGGAGAAGGGACTGCATCCCAGATAGGAAGAGTTAGTACCTCTTCATACAGAGCCCTGATAAGTGCCTTTTCCAGACTAACTCGTCTTGATGACTTCACATGTGAGAAAATTGGCTCTGGTTTCTTCTCTGAGGTGTTCAAGGTGTGTGTTTATTTTTTTTTTTCCCCTCTCTTCATGTTTTGATGAGGAGAATGTATGAGAGTGTCAGCTGAGGAGCTTTCCACCAAAGTCAACTGTTAGTCTTTGTATTTGCTTTACTCAGGATGAAGGAGCAGTGAAGAACTTTCATGTCCCAAACATTTCTTCTGTCGCTCTTCCAGCTGTTTTTTTGTCACTTATAATTTATTTGGGGAGTTACAGAGCTATTTGGGAGAAACAGAAAAAGCTAAAAACAATTGGTTTATTTTTTTTACCTCTGTCACGTATTTTTGCATTCATGTAGTGTATTAAACACTGGTAGCTATTGGTTCTGCTATATGTAAGTGTAAATGTGTTTAATTTAGATAGTTTATTGGTTTTGTGGGATGGTACTTTGGTAGTCTTTGCCTCACAACACTGGATTAGGGAGATTCATACATGGTTACTGAATTTGAAACCACTGAATTTATTGCACTGAAATTACAATACAATTAGCTGCTCTTCTGTTTCCTTTGCTGCTTGTTATGCCACACTTCTAACTCAGTCAGGGATTGAAGTAAATGGTATGAATGAGAAAATCTGATGTTGTCAGTGACTTGCTGCTATGAATGTGGGACACGGATAAGGTCTTTTTAAAGCAATTTGTCAAACTGTACAGGCACCCCCTGTTTTATAGTGCTGGTGGTGTTTCTGCTGCTCTGACTGTTCTGGTGAGGTTTATTGTAGAAGAACAGGACACTGAGTTGACTTCCAGGCTTTCAGGCATGGAAAAAGATAATTTGCCTCCTTGTCCTAGTCCCTGACTTTACATGAAGTTACCCTCCATGTTATTTCCCTTTCAGGGAAATGCCAGAAAACTTTATCTTACAGTATATTATTTGCATTCCATGACACTTCATGTCGTTTTTTCTTTAAGCTAAACCAAAAAACCTTTTATCCAGTTTTATTGCTGTAGATACCTGAATTAGAAAATGAAAATTATTTTAAAGTTGCTTTAATACCCAAAGGCATTCAGATCCCCATGCATGAATCTCCTCTTGTGTAAAGGCAAGTCACTCCACAGAAGTTTTTCTGTTTAGCTAGATAGATGAAATTTTATTTTTCACTAACACAAGTTTTCAGTTCTTTCAAATGGGTAGACATGAAGAATTTTGTTTGGGGTGTGTAGGAGACTCAATACAGATCATTTCTTTATAAAGCCAGCTTCTGTAACAATTGAAAACAAGGGCTTGCTTGGTAGTTGTTTGGGGCTTTTTTGTTTGTTTGGGGCTTTTTTGTTTGTTTGGGGCTTTTTTGTTTGTTTGGGGCTTTTTTGTTTGTTTGGGGCTTTTTTGTTTGTTTGGGGCTTTTTTGTTTGTTTGGGGCTTTTTTGTTTGTTTGGGGCTTTTTTGTTTGTTTGGGGCTTTTTTGTTTGTTTGGGGCTTTTTTGTTTGTTTGGGGCTTTTTTGTTTGTTTGGGGCTTTTTTGTTTGTTTGGGGCTTTTTTGTTTGTTTGGGGCTTTTTTGTTTGTTTGGGGCTTTTTTGTTTGTTTGGGGCTTTTTTGTTTGTTTGGGGCTTTTTTGTTTGTTTGGGGCTTTTTTGTTTGTTTGGGGCTTTTTTGTTTGTTTGGGGCTTTTTTGTTTGTTTGGGGCTTTTTTGTTTGTTTGGGGCTTTTCTTATTTCTCTCTTTGGAAAACTTTCTGTAATGCATTTTGTAGCAACTGGTTTTGTGTGCAGACATTTCTTAATGTTGAATGAACTGATTTTTAAAGTTCTGTGTGTCACTGGAATTCATCTTTACAGCTTTTATTGGTGAAGCTGCTGTGATGTGATGTGTATGGTAGACTTGGGTCATCCCTAAGTGACTAGGAAATAGCAGACTTTGGTTTATTTGTGTGAATTTCAGATTTTAGGGGTGTGTGTGGGGAAAGTGGCTAAAAGTAAAGGTAAATTTCCAACATTCATAGTAATTAATTAGTTAAGAACATCTTATTTGAAGAGAGGGCTTGTTTTAGTCAGGTAGTGGCATACAGAGGTAAAGAGCTGCTTGAGAATTTGTGTTGATTGAGAGAAGTCCCTGATATCCAGTTTATCTTTGTGTGCTTTCTTTAAAAACCTTGCCCTGCTGTTCCCCACTGCAGTGAGCTGAGCTAGGCACCCGTGGTGTCTGTCTGCACTCAGTGGCATTGCTCTGGGAGCAGTGGTGGTGGTGGTCTGAGTATCTGGTGCCTGTTTTCCCAGAAACAACCACAAGTCCTCCTGCAGGGAGACAAGGAGTGATAAAGCCTTTTCTTTCTCCTCAGTTTCGACCATTCTCTCTCCAGTGTTGGCCCAAAGGGGTGAGATGCATTATGACCTTATCGTAGATGCAGTTCCAAGCTCATTTAAGCAGATATCTGTTCTGGTGCTTTATCAGCCTGACCACCTCTGTCATTAATCCTGCTCTGCTGATGATCAGATTTCGTGCAAGAACCTTGATGTGCTTCCAGGAGGGAGAGCCTCGTGGTTTGACACAGTTACAGTTCAGTCTGATCTGCAGGCTCCCAGCTAAATGACTGAATTTGGGGAAAAATCCAGGCTAGTTCTAGGCTTAACTGTGTAGGTAACTTTCCAAGTGCAATGAAGTTTTCCCTTCAAATCAGCAAAGGTGTCTCAAAAACCCCCTCATGTCTCCAGAGGTTTTCAACAGCGTATTTGTCTGTTGTTTTGTGAGTATCATACATTGGGTTCACCCAAGTGATTTAGCAAAGAATGCTTGGCCAGTTTTGAGGGTTTGGGATTTTTGTTTTGCTGTGTAACTGACAATTGTTTCCCATGATTTCTTCCCCTCCATCCTTTTCTGTGGAAATTCCATTTAAAGCAGTGGGTAGAAGTTGCCTTCTCTTAAGTTGGGAATAGGAGGGTGTTACAGCTCAGGTGTTTATGTTAACGGTCATATGGGCCGTGAATGATCTCTTAGCATTTCTGGTGCACCTTTATTCATCAACAAATTAAACTTTGTGGTTATTCGGCACAGAGTATGCAACTGTCATTTCGATTTTGTTAGCCATCACTATAACACTTCAAATATAACACTTCAAATTCATGTTCACCTGAATACAAGGTATTACAGAAACTAGTTTAGAAAAGCTGAATTTTGTCAAAATATTAGCAATCTAGTTTGGAGCAGTTAATGAAATACTTGTTTAATAATGGGTGGGCAAAAGTGAATATAAGATGCATAAGACACAATGCAAAACAAATGCCTTCTAGATCCAGAATACTAAGCAGCTGAGTATGGGTGCCTCCAAAGAAATATTTTGAGACGAAAATCAGCCCTCCCGTTTCAGCATATTTACTGACAGCACCATGTGCTAGGCACTTGGTTTATGATCCCCTATAACTTGAGATCCTTTCTGGAGAACTTCTGGCTACACAGTTTTCCTGTTTTTACACTTGTGCAGCAGATTTTACCTTTTTTTGGTGTTGCCCCCCTTCAAGCATTTCTTAATTTTTCCAGGGGTTCCTTCAGTCTTGATAATCTTAGCAGTTTACCTGCGATCCACAAGCTACTCATTTGATTATGGTTTTACATCAGAGTATTTCCTTTCAGATCACATTTGTTTGGCTTATTTATGAAGATGTCTAGAGAGATGCATTGAAGCCATGTGAAAAACAAGATACAATGAATCTTCGTGATGATATGACGTGGAAATCCTTGAGAAGCAAATGCTGGAAATATGCCAGTGCTATTTGGTGATGTATGGGCTCCATGCATAGTGAAACTGGCACTGCCAGGGTGCAAGTTCAAGTACAGATACAAAGAGAGGGCATCATACTTTTGGATGACTTAATGAGGTGGGTGGTGGCTGCTAAAGGGTCAGTATCCTCAGGGTGTTCCTGCTCTTTGTGCTTGTGAGTCAAATAGAAGACCGTGACTCTTCTGTTTGAGTACTCTGGAATGATGGTCCTCAGTTCATTAGTCAGTTGTTAGACTTTATTCGTGTGGTCAAATTTATGTTCTCCGAGTTTCAAAAGTGCTGCCTGATCACGGAAGGTGTGCCTGTCCAAATATGGACCTTGTACCTGAGGCTGGGATCCTGTTTCTCGTATTTATTTAATGTCTTCGAGGTGCTTTAAAGATAAGCAGCATCCAGCTGTCTAATGTGAAAGGAGAAACGGGGCTGCTGTGGAGGTGTGCTTGGGAGTACTGTGAAGAACACACACACAGACACACATATATACATATATATATATATATATATATATACATATAGTGTTTTTATCAAGTACTTGTACCCAGGATAAAACCGGTAGTTCTGTTACTTCTAACGTACAAAACATAAATGATGCTGGATAGTGGCAGATTTATGGTACTGTGTCTCATGGGCACGTTGTCATGCTGGTGGGCTGGCTCTCTGGAACATCTTTGACTGTGGTAGATCTGAGAGATGTTACTGAGCTGGTTTTCCCAGGGTGACTCAGTGAGAGGTTTGGGGTTTTTTTGTACTTTATGACTTTTAGTGGTTGTAGTGGGTTGTGGTACCATCAGATGCCTTACAGAAGTCTGTGTATATTGCTATTTTAAAACAAGTAGGCATTTTGCTTAATTAATCTTATCACTTAAATTTAAAATTAATGTAAAGCAAGGAAGGGATGTTACAAGGAGTACTCCAGTCTCCTTAGCTAAGCCAGGCATAAGTATTTGTGATCTGTTCTTGGCAGCTACTTTTGGCTTGTACGTTATACTTACATTATATAAGATTCTACAACCTTCTTTGGTGTCTCCAGGCCATAATTTATTATTTTTAAGTGATCCTTTTATAGCTAGAACCTCCCAGTTTGAGTTGTTTCTACAGCTGGTCCTTCCTATTTGCTTATTGACTCTACTAGCAACTCATTACTGACTGAGGGTTCTGTTTTCCTGTGGCATTTAGTCATAAGAGTAAAATGTCTGTGAATGTGTGGAAGGAAGGAAGGAGATATTTGAGTAGTTATATAAATGAGCTTACATAGAAGGCAATGCCAGTTCAGATTCAAAGGAG